GAAGCAGGGAACTGCTAAGGCAGCTGCACCCGGTGCAACCATCACAAAACAAGAGACCCGAGAACTAGAAAGGCGAGGCTTCACCACCTATTTATCCCTCCGCCTTTCAACCAGCACCACATGTGATTATCGGCCAGGCTGGCACAATTAACTAACTCAGTATCCAACGGAAAATGTCAAAGAAGTCAGCCTTATACTACTTTCCCGATGGTATTTATCCAGCCGCAATAAGAGGTATTAATAATAAGGGCTTATACTCCTCCTTGCTGTGGTAGGCAAAAAGCAAGAGCTATTTGGTTACTGAAGACTGAAGAACCAGGATTGCTCCTTAGAAGTAAAAATGGCAAGACTTCATCTCACGTGCGTTGGACATGTTATCAGGAGAGACCAATTCCTGGGGGAAAACAAGCATCAGGCTTGGAAAAGTAAAGAGGCTCATTGAAAAAGAGGGAGACATTCAACAGGATGGATTGACACAGCGTCTGTCACTACGGGCTCAACAGGAACAACTGTGGGTGTAGCGTCAAACAGTGTTCCATTCTGTTGTGCACAGTATTGCTATGAACTAGAACTGGCTCAAAGGCCCCTAGCAACAACAAGATGACTTTCATGAAGGATACCCTAGATACTAACGCCATTGCAGGAGTATCTGTGAGATCGTTAACTAATGATTCCCTCTGGGCGAATATGTTTCAGACAGCTCTTTCTAATTGGACTGCTCCGTGAAAGAAGAATGAGTTAAGAAACCTTTGTCCCGTACCACGGTGTTTCACGAGAGAATTGCAATGGCCGTACATGTATTTGAATTCTCTGCAGTCTCTGGCTCTGACAGTTCGGTTACCCAATGTTTACTTTCATCATAAGAATGAAAATCTAAACCGAAACAGAAAGTAAATGTTAAGAAAATAATTATGGCAAAGTATGTACAAACATGCTTGATACAATTGATGTATGGATTCTTATAAGAGCTGTCAGAGCCCCCAATAAAATGATCTTTTAAAATATGAATGAATACCTCAATGAACTCCCGGACGACCTCGGGTGCACTGACCCATCACTTTCCATCCGCCTGCGTAGTGAATTGCCCAACTGGGCAGCTCATCATTTGGTTTTGCTTCCTTTTTAGTCGATCACTTGATCTCCTCAGAAAAATACATATTCAAAAGGAGCATAAATCGTGTGATTTCCAGTACAATTGTGCGGGGAAGAAATACTTGGATTAGCTTTCAAGCCAATTTTTTTCCTCCTAAACTCCTAACATTTATGTGCATTAAAAGATGCCCAACCCGTGAATAAGCAAATGTGGTGAAGAAAGCTGATGGTGCCCGGCTATCAAAAGATATAGC